TTTTTTTTTTTTTTGCCTAATTCTCTCATTTATAAGGAAGAAATGAGAATGAGGTCTTATTAGTAGAGTCTTAGCATATTTGGTGAACTTAACTGCACATTGAAAGCCCTTCTGGACATTATTGCTAAACCTGCATCAGGTCCAAAATCTTATCGAAAGGTGCCTTCAGCTTTACATGAGCCAGAGTGAAGTCGTGAATACCCTATTGCACCAGGCAAAAATCGAGCCTGGTTTCACCGAACTTGGTAATTTGATTCCACTCGTCAATCTTTTTTTCGTCTAATTCTGCTCTTGAGTAGAGAGTTAGTGTGAAAACTGCTGTTTTGCGTATTTTTCATTTAAAAAAAAAATCTTTGCAATTACCACTACAACTCTCTCTCTCACACACACACCGTATATTTATATGTATATATAAATTTGATATTAAAAAAATGTATAAATGTCTATAAAAAAGAAATATATATGTGTGTTGTGTGCTATTATAATCCAAATTACTCTATTACACCTGTACCACATACAGTTTGGCAAAAGCTTGAAGCCGAAAACCAGGATTTTTTCCGAGCATATCATCTGAGACTAATTGTGAAGGAGCAGATATTGCGATTTAACCAGTTGCTTGAGCGACAGGTTGCACTTATGCGCCAAATTAGTCAGCCTGAAGTTGTTTCCATTTCTCACTCGAATGGGTCCCAAATTCTACCAAGTAAGTTTTCCCCCTCATTTTAGTAGACTCAGGATTTATTTGCACAAATTATGCTGTATGGTTTACACAAAACTTTCTGAAATTTCTTATAAGCGAATACGTATTCCTTTTAGAGCTATGATTTTTATCACGATAATAGTTGAACTTAAAGTAGTTTAGCTATTTTTTTCCATTGTGTACACAGTTCTATCAAATTTACGATTCATTATAGTTGCAAATGATATAACTTTTTGTGGGAGTGGCTAATTTTGAATTTTATTTTGACAAGAAAATATTTTATTAATTTATTTTATTTTTTCAGCGCACAAAAACACAGCATACCATTCCCCAAAACCTTCGGTACAGTCGATAAAGCCAGAAAATCTGCCCCAACAACAAGTCATCAATTCCATTCCTAATATATACACCAATGGTACAGCCCACATGCAACAGCCCATGCACGTTGCAGTCAATGTGCCAACGGGTGGGCCAGAAAATATGCTATTGGGCCAAGGCCCGAATGTGGGCTTGATGCAAGGATTGAATGGGGGCCCGGTAAAAGCGGAATGTGGCTACACAAGCGATCATCCCCCGCTCATTTTTGGAGCTGAGAATAGTCTCTTGGATCCTCATAACGCAATTGGGGATGCCTCGAGTTCTTTTAATGGCGGGGAGTCGAGCTCACAGGCACTGAACGAGATTTTGGACAATGAGACGAGCTCATTCGGGATTTTGGGACAGATGCCTCGAAACTTTAGCTTATCGGACTTGACGGCTGATTTTTCTAACAATAATGGTTCTCTCCCTCTCTCCCTCTCTCTCTCTCTCTCAATATGTTTGATTAAGAAAGAGTATAAAATGAAACAGGGTGATTGAAATTTTTTAGAGTAAAGTAACAAGGTTTTATTACAAATTGACCCCTGAGGCTCAGTTTAATTACAAAATACCTAATAATTTTTTAATGTATAATAAATAGCCCCAGCTTGAACCCTCCACAATATGCAGTTTTCTTACACAAATGTGAAAGTGTTGGGTTGGATTCTTTTTGTAACAAAAAAACTGGTTCTTCCAGTGATTCCTTAAATAACATAACCCGGATTGAAAAGGGCTTTCATTTTGTGGTACAACTAGTTCATTGCAAATTGACCCCTGAGCCTGAGGCTTAGTTTAATTACAAAACACCTAATATTTTCTTAAAAGTGCAAATAGCCCCGGCTTGAACTCCCTAACAATAGACAATATGCAGTTTTGTTGAAAGATAAACTGGATTCATTTTGTAAAACCCGGATTGAAAAGGGCTATCATTTTTTGTGGTAATTGAATGTTTCATGAACTTTAAATGACTTCACTTGATACCATCAGATATTCTGAGCTATTCTCGATCTCCATTTTTGGGAACTGGTGCAAACTTCTTGGATCCTCATATTGGGGGAGGACAGCAAGGTAACATGTTAGTTGCCTTTCGGGTTTTTACATTTTTTACGGTGGAAGAATGGTAATAAATTTTTGACATAACTTTTGTTTTCCTTTCGAGTAGACATGAGGAGGAGAGACTCGGTATCAGATGCTTTTAGTTACGATGATTTTGCCAGTGATTGAAGGAATTCTTACTAAAATAGGTACTTCCCCAATAATAGTACACTTTTTTACATTGTATTAACTCCTCCCTCTTGATAATAATTTTCACATTCCTTGTGATTTTATTGTTCCAGGGCCGGTTGCTGGGTTTGGACAGAGGCTGTTGTAAGTAACTTTCTAGAATTTTTTACGATTCAAAACTAAACGAAGGGGGTACTTTTTGTCGATGCTTTACCGGGTAATAATTTAAACGCGATATTTGATGATCCTTGTTAGTAGCATTTAGTTTGAAGGTATTTTACAAGCAAAGGCTTGTTCATGTCTTATTGATTTGTTCTCCTTAAGTTATACATCATTTACCAGAAATGATCAGAATCGTGTATCTACTTATTTTTACTGTACTCTTTGAGCAAATTTACTGCCGGTGGCTCCAAATAAAACAAACATTTATTTCATTGAACTGTGATTGTAACTAGTTCAAGGTGTTTGGATTTTATTTTATTTTATTTTATTTTATTTTATTTTATTATTTTTTTTTTTTTGAGAAAAATTAATTGGTTACCACACAATGAAGGTATTTTTGTTGAGCCTGTCGCGTATAAAAATTTGTCGGAGTGCGATAATTAGGGATGTAAACAAGCTGAGCCAAACTCGAGTTCCTAATACTTAAAAGCTCGAGCCTTTATCGAGTCGAGCCAAACTAAGCTCTCATAAGCGTGGCAACAAATTAGTTGCTTCATATGATCATATGTAAGAACAGTATCTAACAATAATATATTTCATAATACTTTTATATTGAAATTCTTAAAACTATAACGTTTTGAGTTTAAATAATTATTTTATATTGAACTTTTTAAAAATTGACCTTTTGGATTTTAGTAATTATACCAAACAATTAAGTTACATGAGTAAAACTATACTTTAATTTAACTTAAAAAACATAGGAGAGTATTTGGGGTATAATAAAACTTGCTAAAATTCATTTTTTTTACAATTTTGAGATTTAAGTTAGAAATCCCAAGACCCGAGGTAGGATAAATAATAAATAAAATGAATAGCTCGTAAATTTTAAGTAGAGTTTTAAAATAAAATAAAAAAATTCAAATTAAAAACACAAATATTCTTAAGAATTTCAAAAAGTTCGAAAATAATACACTGTATTTATCGGAAAATACTACAGTCCCGTTACGGAACTATTCAGTCGAGCATTTTAACCGTTAAATCATCTTGCGCTACAGTCTCGTTACGGAACTATTCAGTCGAACATTTTAACCGTTAAATCATGTTGCAACTGGAGATGATAATTAATATTTTGGGTAAAAGTACCTCAAATTCATCACTTGCTGAAGTATTTCGAGGCCAAGACCCCACTGTAGGGTTTTAGAAGTTCAAACCCAGAAATTGCGAACAATGAGCGGGAATGCAGAAGCTGCCAATGGCGAGGAGGAAAGCTTCGGCACCTGCCTGAGCAGCGTATCCGATAATGGCAGCATCGACAGCTACAGATACTATCTGGCCCGACGGACGATGCTCGAGATGCTTAAAGATCGTGGCTTTGCGGTTCCCAATTGCGAAATCGAGGTCTCGCTCGAAGAATTTAGGAACAAGCATGGCCAGTCGCCGGAGACCGATGAGTTGAGAATCTCTGTTCTTCACAGGGACGATCCTTCGATCAAGGTATCTGAAAAATTAGGGCTCTGATTTTATTCCTTCATTTTTGTTTTCATTTTCAATTTTGGTTTTGCCTTTGTTTGTTGTGTGATTGATTTTTGGGGTGATGCTTTTTAGCCCTAGAAGATGGATTGAGTAAGGAACATTCGATTGAGAAGGTAAAGTTGAAGTCTTGTTAGTAGAGTTGAGCATGGGACTCGGAGAACTCCAAACGTACCGAAATCACTCCAAATCGAAAAATAACCGTTGACCGTTTAACTTTTTCCGAACCGTACCAAAATCACTCTCTCTCATTGCATTAGTTTGATGTTTCAACTGCAGGCCATGGTTATATTCTGTAGTCAGGCCATTGTTAAGGTTAATGTCATCCGTGCCATTTCGTCTACGATAGTCAACAAAGACAGCCTTAACCGGTTGATTTTGGTTGTCCATAACAAAATAACCAACCAGGCCATGAAGGCGGTTGATCTTTTCTCTTTCAAAGTCGAAATAATCCAGGTAAATAAAGTATTCTCTGTATTACAGATTTGTGTGTGTGTGTGTGTGTGTGTGTATAGAGATTGATTGGAGTTGTATAATTAGCTAATCCTAAATAATTCTTTGATGTGTATCTTTTTCTTTCCTGTTTTCTTCTCTTTCGGTTTGGTGGTGAATCAAATACAATTTCTATTGGCACTATAGATAATTTTCTCACTTGTATGTGATCTATTAATCGAAGTTATATAACTTACAATACTGCGATTTATCTGCATTTCGATTTAGATATCGACATTGGGTTTTATTTAAACATTACCATGCTATGTTAGATCACCGATTTGCTTGCTAACATAACCAAGCATGAGTTGAAGCCAAAACACCAAGTTTTGACTAACCAGGAGAAAGAAGAACTGCTCGGAAAGTACAGCATTACTGAAAAGCAGGTTAGTTTTTTCGCATTAACTGGGAATAATATATAGTGTTTGTTCTTGTAAATGTTGTTCACCTTCTCAAATTCTTGTTTGACTTTATTATTCTTCAGCTTCCTCGAATGTCACACAAAGATGCCATAGCTCGTTATTATGGTCTCGAGAAAGGACAGGTCTTGAAAGTCACTTACAGTGGCGAGTTAACCCAGTTACACGTGACTTACCGTTGTGTCTGGTGAATTTTCTGCACGTCCCAACCGGACTTTTACTATTTACCCTTGTGCACGATTTTGAGGTTTTTGGAAAGAAAAGAAAAACATCGGAGAAAAAAAAACGTCTCTTGTGTAATGACATTGTTTTACAGCAGTGAGATTCTAAAGTTTTTACTTTTTACCATTCTTGTCTGTGATTATGTATTTTTCTGGAGAATTTTTCTGCATTAGATGACACAGTCAGTTAAAGACACTGATTATTTTTTTGCATATTTTCATCAAGGGGGCCAAAACAAAGGTTCCTGGTAAAAAGTTTTATTCATATGCACTAAAAAGCAGCACATTCGAATAAAAGCAGAGGCATCGAAAATATACTTTGCTAAAAACAA